AGTGAGAATAGCAGCACAACTGGAAGAACGTAATCGATGTCGCTGAATTGTACATGTTGAAATTTTTGAAATGGTGTATCTTTGGCTATATATATTTTCACCAAAAAAAAATAAATAAATAAAAGGTCAAGAAGGGAGAGTGTTGACATGTCATGGGGTTGTTGTTAACCAATGTCATAAAACAATATGTGTATCGACTGTTTAATGAGAAACTATTTGTTGTGTAAACCTGTAAACCTTCACCTAAAATACAGTTAAAATAATCCTGGTTCCCTCTCTCCTTAACTGCTGCCCAAAACTAGAAGAAATTGGAGGAAACCTGTTTAGGCGCTGTGTTGACATTCAGGGTAACCTTTTAGCTCATTAAGTATCTCATGCATAGTAACTTCCTTGCCTCTGGGTAGAGTTTAACTGCCATTTTCTGAACATTCAATGCATAAAGTTATATGCAAACCCCATTGCACCTATCTAGTATGATTAAGAATGTTGCTGATATATCTTGTATGAACTCCCTACTTGTAAACCCCTGAAAAGTAACCTTCCCCATTGCCCTTGCTGAGCAGTCTTGGCAGCAGCAGCCCTGACTGTTTCCTTTCCTTGCACAATGAAATAAAGGCGGCTTTCCACTCTCCCACCTGGGTCTCTCGTTTATTGGCTGAGATGAGTCATGCCGAGCAGAACCTGGGGTTTCCACCTGGCAACAATAGAGACCCTACACGACAGAGTAGAACTGCCCCATAGGGTTTCTAAGGAGCAGCTGGTGGATTCGAACTGCTGAACTTTTGGTTGGCAGCTGAGCTCTTAGCCACTGTGCCGCCAGGGCTCCAAGAACTCAGAGGGAACTGGTTAAATGCAGATTTCTGGGCCCCAGGCCTGGTGTTGGGATCTAGAGATTCTGCAATGGTGCCACTGGGAAAGACACATCTTCCTCTCCTATGGAGGGGATCCACCTTTCCAAGGACAAACAAAAATAAGCTCCCTTGTCCCCACAACAGCATACTAATGCCTTAGGCAAGTGGTGAGCCTGCCTCCTTACAAATACCTTTCACACAGTCTCCCCCTGAATTTTCACCACACCCATTTCATCAATGAGTCCACTGAAACCCAGATCAAGGGCGATACTCGCCCTGAGACACAGACCCAGGAGGACCAGGTGGCTTTTGTGTTCCTTTAAGAGGGAGGCTCATCCCTGGCAACTGGTGCTCAGATGGGGCCCCGGGTAGGCCCTGGGGTGAGGGAGGAGCAAGGCTGGGGGAGGGGAGGTCTGGCCCCCAAGGGTGGCTTCTAGTGCACTTGAGAAAACAAGCAGGCCCTGAAGGCAGAGGGCCTGAGACCCTAGCCTGGAAGGAAGATTTTGGGCTCTTCTGGGCCAGACAGGCGGCTGCAATTTGGAGGTTAGTGACTTCCATATTTGGTTTGGGTGGTGTAGCTCCTACCCTGGGTGTTTCATTTACTTTTCCCAACAACCCTCTGAGGTGAGCACCCTTAAACTCAGTTTCTGGTGGGTACTTGACACAGGTGCTGCAACAGTGGGCTCAAGCATAGCAACGATTGTGAGGATGGCACCGAACTGGGCAGGGTTTTGTTCTGTTGTATGAGACTCAATGGCACCCAACAACGGACACCAGAGAAGTAAATGACTTTCCCAGGGTCACACAGCACATTCAAGATTCACACTAAGTTCTGTTCCCCCAAAGCCCTCGCTTTTCCCTGACTCCCTCCTGGCTGTTGGTAGAAAGCCCAGTGTCAACATGTTGGGTGAATACAGGGGCCTGTGGACCCTCTCTCTCTACCTAGAGTGTGACTTTCTGGGGGTGGGCAGTCTCAGCCCGAGGGGTCAACATCTGTGTCATGGGGTATGCAGTCAGACTGACAGGTCCTGGGGCTGCACCTCCCAGTCAAGGTGATCTTGGCCCGGGGCCCTACCATTGTCTGAGCCTGTTCTTCCTCTGTGAATGCGGCCAACACTGCCAACCTCACTGGGCCCTCAGGAAGCTGGCGGGGGTGGGGGATGGGATTTCCTTAAAGAGGCTGTGAGAAGAGCAGGCCAGGGCTAGTCGCTGGTTTTAATATTGGAAGGGGCTGCATAGGCCTGGCTCGCTATTATTTACTCCCCATTGCTAACCGCCACATTGTCTCGTGATTTTTCCCTCTCGTTCTAGTCTCTACGAAAAGATTCAAGATTAACTGATGTTCCTCCCTGGAGGGTGGAAAACAAGTGATAATGATCTAAGACATCATCACCTCAAGGAGAAACTACCACAAAAGATCCGTAATCCTGTCCCTATAAAAGACTTCAGTCAATCTCTAGTGGGGGAGATGCGTTTTTTGGAGGAATCTATTCCCCTCCTCCTCCTATATAGCGATATACAATAAACGTCTTGCTGCTCACCTCACCCCTGTCTCAGAATTGGCTATTGCGGCAGGCAGCTCCAGTCCGTGTTATTGCAGTAACAGTTTCACCCTGGTTCAGGGGCTATGGAGGTCAGGGAGACTGTGGATAATGGGTGTTTTTTCTCCACTTTTTAAAATGCCTGCCATACTTACATTGCTTTCATAATAAACAAGCCCGTTGAATTGAAAGCGACAAGCTGAGAGAAGCGTGCTAAGAGACTGTATTTGTGAACTGTGGCGGCCGTTGCTGTTGCTGGGTTGGCTCAGGCCCCCTTGGGACTCCCTCAAAGCCACAGGGGACAGAGATGGCCTGGGCCACAGCACTGCCTCGCCTGGGAGTGGGGGCAGGGAGGGGTGGCGGCCAAGGTGGCCACCCTCTGCCATCTGGGCTTTGTGTCTCTTGCCTTTGCCTGACTGATGCTCTTTAGCCTTTGTTTTGAGAAGGATATTTCACGGGACTGCTCTGCTCCTCGAGGGTTTCGTAGGGGAAAAATATCACAAAGTGAAGAGAAAGTTTTATTCGGCATATATTCAAAAAGACAAAAGTGGGAAGCAGACAGCTAAGCTGCCAGAGCCATGTCTGTCCAAGTTCAAGGAAATATCACAGAACAGACAAAAGTGGGAAAACGGACAAGCATGCTGCTAGAGCCATGTCTGTCCAAGTCCAAAGAATATTACAGAATAGGCAAGAATGGGAAAATGGACAAGCATGCTGAACCGTTACAGAGCCATCAGTATATATTAACATTACAAATGGGAAAAACCATTGAAAGCTTTACCTTTTCACAGATTGGCTAGAAATTGTGATCCTACATTTTGAATTGTCTTTCTTAACAATCATTGGTACAGGTTTCGGTAATGACAGTCAGGAGGGTCTTCACTGGTCCAACAATTATCTATTCAGTAAATGCTAATAGAAAAAGATAAGACTAGAAAGTTTTCTGTGTCCTGTTTGATTGGCTTTATGAGAAAGTTTCCCTAAAAGATACTTTCCAAGATTATCTCAGCTGTTGTCTTTATACCTCAGGGCCCAGTTGATGTGTCCTTGTGAGTCCCTGTGAGCCCAGCTCCAGCAGGGTCACGTTCTCTATGCTCAAGGACAGGGAATAGTAACTCCAATATTATTTCCTAAATCAAGGGCAGGGACCCACTGTAACTGACCAGAACTCAGCTCCCAGGACCTAGAGAACTTGGACAAGTCACATCTCAAGTCAGAGGTGGGGGAGGGAGAGAAGTCCCACTGGGAGGGGCCTTAGAGACTATTTGATCTGTAGTTTTCATTCCACAAATCTATGGTTTTAATTCCACAGATGAAGAAACTGAGGCCCAGAGAGGG